AAGGAAGACTGTATTTTGGTTTCATATTCTCGTTCTCTGTGAAAACTATTAAAGATTTTTCAAAGACCCGCTGATTCAGTTAGCAAATAGGAAATCAACCATGTTAATAGTGAATTTGAGCTCAAGCAGCAAAGGGCAGTTCACCAAAATTCTTAAAGAACTAGGAAGAAAATTAGGAGGATACACTAGGGAAGTGGGAAGTTTAATGAAAAAAATGTCAAATAGGAACACATAATTCACCATGCCATGATGTAAGCATCCAGATAAAACCACCACAATAAATACAAGGAACAAATAAAGGACATGCTCACTAACTGTTATCATTGCTGTCATTTTTCAATGGGCAACATATTAGCTGAATGCAATTAACAGTAGTCTTATTAGACCTAATCCCAGACCACTTCCCTGCTTCAACTACCTTCAACTATCAGCAACTTTTTTCTGAGTAAAACAGAGAAACTAGATATGGTTAAACATGCATTGAGTGAAATAGATACCTTGTTCCCAATTGCCCGTCCAAATCCACATGCCACTGCCGCAGCATCAACATCACCAATATGTGGCCTAATACTTTTCCGAGCCCTAACAGGTGACAAGCCATAACCCGTAAAAACATATGATGACAGACAAGTATATTAGTATTTTAGCAAAAAAGACTAAGAAGGGATAAAATACTAAGAAGGGATAAAATAGCTTTACAGAAAACATTACCAAGCGCATATAAGCAAACCAGCCAGCTGCCTAGAACCAACACGTTCAAAAGATGATCCTTCATCAAGGGTCTTCCCAATAGCGTCCAACCACCATTGCCCATTAGCACTCCCCTCAAGTCCTACCTAAAATTAGTGTAATAACTGTAAGCAATAACTAGAAGAGAAGTAACATTCTGCCACCCAGAATCTATAGCAACTTATGTGAAATTTCGCAATAGAACTGTTTATAATGTACGCAGCAAATAACTGATTGAATGCAGCAATTTTATTTTCTTATTTGAAAAATCAGAAAATCCAGGAAATGATTACAAATTTGCAGACCAGACTACTGCCACAACATATATAGGCAGATCCAAGTTATTGGTTATATGTAGCGCCTCATATATACCGCAAGAGGTAAAAGAATAGCAACAGAAGTATCAACTATTCATAACATGACTGCAAGTCTTGTTCTTAGTAAACTTCTTTATTATTAGTCACATCCCAACTTCTGAAAGAAAGCCTCAGTCAAAATCACATATGCCAGTAAGCAAGCATTATTCTTAGCATATTAAGCTATGAGATAAATAGCATATGCCCATAAGCATACCTAATTATGGACATGCAGTAGTATAATAAAATGAATAATTTCCAAATAGATGGATCCAGGAACTTCTAACCGGCAAAAGGTTACACAACCAGAGTGTAAAGAGAATAAATTCTCCACGCTTTGGGTTGGCAAAAGTAAACTAACACCCCACCCCACCCCAAAAAAAAAGAAAAAAGAAAAAAACCAAAACAAAACTACAAAAAAAGGGAAAATGATATGGCAAAAAAATAATCAAGAGAAGGAAATTCAGTATGTAATGACCACTTAGTGAATAATGCTAAACATCATCAGTTTGGGAAAAAGAACGTAAAAATGACTATTTCACAGTCTCTGTATAATTCTACATATTCGTAAGTTAATTAATATTAACTTCAATTAGCCTCAAGCTAAGATACCTATCCCAATCAGAATTTAGTATGCACGCTCTAAATAGTAAGGGCCTAGAAAGAAGCTAACGGTTTAATGGCCCTTTGTCATAGGCTCATAGCCCCTGCATAACAACATTTGATGTAAACTTCCCGTAAATAACAATCATCAGCTTGAAGACTGAACCCATGTGAATAACTGAATCAACCTTGGGTTAGGAATCTCAAATCTCTACTTAGCTAAGTTGTTTCCATGGCCTTAAAGCAAAGTGAAGTGGTTTTCCTCAACAGCGGCCATAACAAACTGTATGCCTATGTAGTCACTAGCGTTTAATGTATCTCAACTATGCAGAGAATTTCTCCACTCTGGAGAAATATTTGAATACCTAGGCATCATAGATATCATGATTCAGAGTCATAAGAAAACCCACTTCTCTGAAGCTTATACTATGAGTATAAACCTGATTCATACAAAGTCTTTTATTATTGCCGATCAATACTGACTACATTTTCTTCTGGATAAAGACCATAGCCTGAAGACCCTGAACCTAAAACTAGGATCTCAGACCACCAATTCCCAAAGCTTTTAACTACCTAAGCTAGTCGGCAAAATTTTCCATGGATCTATAGGATGATCCGACCCAAAATTTGCTACTCTATGCATAGTGTAACCCACCAAACTGTTGTGTTGTCTGCTAGGAAATATTCGCTTTCAATTTAAAGCGAGGTCTTAAAACATGTGCTATATGCCTATATGTTCCCTTAGACAATGAATACCGCATTACCGGATTGTAAGCCACAGAATGGAATTATGTGAAGTTGCATGGTAATAAATTTTGATATGTTAGATAATTTAACGTAAATTTTTCACAAAGAGAGGAGAACAAGAGAGATGTGAGAAACTTATAAAAGGTGCAAGTAGCTTGTGATTTTAGGTAATAAATCCTGTTTTACAAAGGACCAACTCTAACTATAAATAGCATTAGAATGAAGTACAAATAATAATAATAATAATAATAATAATAATAATAGCACGAATCAATACCAAGAAAAAAAGGAAAAGTTATCATCTATTAAGTTCTTAATTGACCCTTCTCTTATATTGCAATTAGATAAACATCATGTAGTAGTCAAATAATTGAGGACTAGAGAGATCAAGCAAACCTTCTCATACAAGAGAGAGACAAGGGATTGAGAAAAATTGGAAAATGGATGAACTAGAAAATGTAGAAAAGAAAATAAAGTTACACAACTTGTAACCTCGCTAGGCAACTGCCCTATGAGCGAGAAAGAAAAAGAAAGATAGATCACCTTTATGGACTGAGACAGAATTTTATCAATCAGGCTTAGTATCTTAAATGTATCTCAATTGGAGTTCTTTGCTGGGTTTAACAAGTCTCATTGGATTAGGTTTCCTTGAATAAAGGATCGGGTTCCAAAAAAAGTAAAAATCATTCACGTAATCAAGTACATGGTGCATAACTTGCTCAGAACAGCCTTACAGTTTGAACTTTGGAGGTCATGTGCATATGTTCATATAGGTACATAAATGTCCATTTTTCTAAAATGGTTGACTTAACAGTGCTATTCACTGATGCATATTCCACAGCCAAAATATTATCTTCAACTATGCTGACTGATTATTGGCATCCTGTGGAGTCATAAGTTTTATCTTATTGTATTTCTTAAATAATATTTTAGAGATTATGATCTTTCTTATGTAGTGGTTACCTCATAATAAGTATCAAAAAAAAGTTGAATACAAAATCATTCCCCTAGGTAACTGCAATAAGATAAGAACGCTATTCTATAGACAAGGATAATATAGCAAAGATGCTCAAGTGACGTAAAATTTGAAGATTTTGAATGATCAAAGACTGTGAAACATTCCATATAATACGGCATACTTGTAAAACTCCCCTGCTATTTCTGTCATAGTTCCCTCGAGCTCTTCCATGCATGTAGTCTATTGCCGAACTATATCGTCTCATTGGAAGAATACTAGTTTATCTAGGGTTAAAAAAAATTTACGTAGATTAGATAAATTATTTAATTTGAATTTGTGTGTAGATGGGATTAGGATAAGTTATTTGACTTGAATGAGTTAAGTTGGGATCAGTTATATTATAGGAGATTAAGTTCTGATTTTTTTTCTCCCTCTACAAAAGGTTAAACTTAATTTCTGATTCCTTGCTTGCCCTATTTTTACTGCCTTTTTATTTTTGTTCAATTGAAAAAAAAAACATAGCACCTTTTCCCCCAATAAAGCTCTCTAAAGCGTGTGAAAACCTAAGCTTTGTCCTGCCACTTCACCTTGCTTTCATTTTCCACAACATTGCTACAAATAGATAAACGAAGAACCCTCCTAGTCCGCTAGTCGACTTATTGAACCTGATGATCATTTGCTCAGACCTAGCTGACAAGAAAATAGAAAGAAATTTTTATGTTAGCAAAGTAGTTAGCACAAGTTGACGTTCCACTAAGCCATTATAACAACTAATGAAAGGAAAGCAACCAAGTTATTAGTCAAACCAGTTGGTGGGAGATTTTCAAATACAATTTAACTTTTTTTTCAAACCCGAGGTGTAGCTAAATGTCTTGGGGATGTCTTATGTGGGGCCGGACTATGTCACCGGTTCTTACAATAAGTTATGTGAATCTCTTCCCCATCTTTTACTTTTAAACTACAGATTTAAAGAATTTGATTAAGAAATATATGGAGTAGAAACCTCTCTTCTCTTAGATTTGAATTAGATGCACTTCTAGCAGAAACCCCTCTTTTCTTAGAGTTGCCTTAGATGCAGTTCTTGGTTTCATTCATGTATTGAAATGGTAGGACCAAAAGCATGATATGGTATATAATAGTGGATTAGTAGCTCTCCATCAAAGTTTATCAAGACTTCCCCCATCTTTCACTCTTAAAACTACTAAGATTTTGATTAAAGAATATATGGGGAAGAAACCTATCTCCTCCTAGCTTTGGAGTAGATGAACCCATCAGTTTCGGATATGGATTGGCATGGCTTGAACCAAATGCATGATAAGATCCAATGTAATCATGCAGGAAGATTATGACGAAAGTAAAAAACAGGTAAGATATAAAACTATTAGCATGTGAAGTGATTGTTTGCGCAAGTCTGTTAAAAGGGAGGTCAAGAATTGTACTTAAACCTGGAAGTTAAGGGGAGGAAGTCAAGAAAGGCCAAACATGGCAGGGGAAAAAAATTAAAGGACTCTTGAGCTCACAATGAGACATGCATTTGTTGATATGATTGGACAGCTAAGAACATATAGAACCAGGAGCCCTAAACAATTTTTCAGGTTAGGCACAGTGGTAGCATTTGCAATTACCATAAACTCAAATAAATAAGCCTTGCTATATTCGAACTTTTACCATTTTGATTTTGTTCAAACTATATCTCATAAGCTTTACAAATGAATAGGTTTGAAGCAATAAAATGATAGAATCCATAGGAGGTGGTCAGGCACATGGCTAGTACAAAAATGACCCTGAATATAGCTACAAAATGGTTTAAAATGGCAAACACCCAAAAAGGAAGATTTAAAATGAAATGTATATAGGAACCATAAGAAAAGATTTCTTGATAATACAACTATGAATATTGATCTGCAGGAATTGTCAAAGGTATCGTGAAGAATTTCCACACCGGTCATTTTGGTGGATTCACCTTGTGAAGAAGCAATCACAAAGTGTGATCTCTACACCAGAAAGGATAAGACCGTGACGACGAGATGCAACTAAGAACTACACCTATAAAAGATTAACCTAAAGTTCAGGATAGACTGATGCCCTCTATTACATATTAAAAAAAACAAAGATCAAAGTACTATATTGTAAATCGACAGTGCAAAAATTAATATCTCACAGTTTCTTTTGCTGCAGCCATGGCAAGAAAACCAGCACCCATTTCCACCTCTTGCAGCCCAACAACAACCAATCCAACCTCCGTTGCTGCTTTACCTAGCCATGATATAAGAGAATCACGAGATGCTCTTATTTGACCAACATTCCAAGTACCACACAAGATTTTAATATTCTCTTGTTTTGTGTACAAAAGCTCTTTATTTGACAGCTCCGAGTGCAAGATATTGTCAATGGGTCCTGGAGATGTAAGATTCCACCCACGAATGCCACCATGATTACACAACGTAAAGATATATGAACCTCCAACAGCCATCTTAATCACTGGACTGCTATGAGCAACCCATCCCCCAAGCAACTTTCCTTCAAGATCCATCAAGTGAATGGTCCCACTAACATACCCCACCCACAAGCGTGTCCCAAAGGTACAAATGCTCTTAACCGCATATGCGTGATATTGAATTTCATTCAACCGAGTCCCATTACTATCCCACTGAATCAGAGAGCCATTATTGCATCCAGACCAAATAATGCCATCTTTCGCTATTGCTAATGCTTCTGTTCTCTGACTATCTTCTCCAAATGTTCCCTTTGATGCAACTCTTCGAACAGCATCAGCAGCACCCATCAGGGCATTCCGTGAACGTTGGAGAAAACCAACTTGTGATTTTTCCTTCTTTGTTGAAACAGGCTTTACTTTCACCTCATCCTCTACATGTGGATCCTGGTTCTGTGAGGCCTCAATTAACCGGGTGTCAACTTGGCCATCAACACCAAACACTTTCAGGAGCTCCCTTTTGCGAGCATCCCTATGTCATTTCACCAATGAAGTTATTCAGGATTGGTTTATGGCATGAGGAGCAAATTTTAAGTATTAAATCAAGATAATAGTTTGAAAATCTAATTGACCAGTTATAAGACAACTTTTATCTAACACCAGCAAAAAGTTTGGTGACAACACCTACCAAAGTGCAAAGGATAGACTAGAAGCACTCCATATTTTAGATCTACCATTATCTGATACCAAATGTCTTATACTTGAAGGAGGTAGAGGACAAACGCCATTAACAGTGCAGTTGTTCCTAAGGTCAATACATGATCTCTCAATTAATAAGGCAGCCATATGTCTCTCTTCAACTGATAGAGAGAGGGACTTTTCAATGGCTTCCCAGGGCCAGACCTTGATTCCTCCACCTTCAGAGCCTGACCAGATATCACCTGAAGATTACAAATGGCAAAGCAAACAGGAGATAATGGTTAGAATGACATGTTCCTTTAACAAAAAAATATAAGGAATGAACAAGAACTGGTACGAGAAGAGAAGGGTAGTTGATGCACAAAAAAGTTATTCACTCTCTGCTCCATACTTTTGATTTAATATTATCCATTAATAAATATGATAATTCCATACTTCTTAGGATCTTAGGATTTTTCAATAAAGAAGATAAAATAACCAGTGTGAACAAATGCAAAGAAAAAAAACAATTTAATCAGGATCTTAGGATCCATGACTTGTACCTTATAATAGAAACTCTTACATTGATGTGGATTCTACCGTATATGAGATAGGTGGAGATCAATATCCAACTCCGAATGTGATTAGGGATGTTGTGGTTCAAGGGTAACAGAACACATATAAATTCAGCTATTCATGGACATACCAGTCCAAATAAAAGCTTTTGCTGCATTAAAATTAACAGTGTACTGTATGACCTTTCATTCACTAAAAGATTTCTGTGTTCCATGATCATATGGATCCGTAGTCTCAAAAAACTTCATCTTCCTCAACTGCAAAGAAACTATGAAGCTATTGTTTAATGTAATGTAGACGCGTCAAAATTATTTGGGTTGAGATATTTTGGTTATATTGGCGATCAACAAACATGTAGATCAACTTCAATCGACCTAAGAAGTTTTGTCATGTGCTATGTTCTTTCTTAAAAATATACAGGAAACTTTAGTTGAAATTTTATTTAGTAGAAAACAATTTTGGTAATGTGGGTATCACAATATGAAGTTAGATTCTTAGTTATTATCCGTTCCGTACTACTTTTTTTCCAAATCTCTCGCTATGAGGATCACTTAAAAATTTTAACCAGAACCTATGCACATTACTTTCTACAAATGGTATCTTTCTAAAAACCAATATCCTATCAGCAATATGCCTCATCATAAAAGCAAGTTTCAATATTCCTAAATGTTATGGTCTACTAAATGTTAAGCATCAAACATCAACAATATACTTTATTAGGAAAATAAAAGCCTACTAAGTTATGAAAATTAGTCTCTTACAGTCTTACTCATGAATAAGTTATGATAAGAATCATGCCCCCAAACCTGCAGTAATTTCATTACCATATATCAAAATTAGGAAGCGATACCTTGTGATTGGTACTTAATAATACATTAGAGAATTTATATTTTGATGCATAACATATAGCACTGTCTTTGGAGTTATGATCAACTTCGAGTGCAATTCTTAGCAACAATAATTGTCCACTAACTGATTATATTTCACCCCATGGTTTTTTCACCCTTTTCAGATTCAGATTAGGTTACAGTTTATGTAGTTTGGATTAGTACATATGGAGAATTTACTTAGTGGACGCTTTGTTCCTGAAAGATTAAAGTTTATACTAGGATAGTATATTAGTATATATTATGTGCAACAATCTACTTGTTACAAACTGCTTGAAAAAGTTTATAAAAAGCTTGCTAAGGTGCACTCTGAGGAATGCTTTGGGAAGTAATCACCTTGAAGCTCAAAAGAAAACTGATTTGTCCTTTGAGGCATGCGCCTCTTAACTTAAGTATGCGCTTTGTGCCCTACGAAACACTGCTCTTGAAGTGTATACTTCAAGAAAATGGTATAAGGTTAAATTTCAGGGTATTTATAATACCAGAACCCAAAATCTTCGTTGTTTCTATATAAGAACACCCCAACCACAAATCCTTAGTATTTCTAAACAAGACCCCTATATCAGTCCAAGGTTGGGGAAAGTGAAAAGCGAAGAGAACCAGTGAAGTACCACTTAGGCTTTTTGGGATTTGAGCAAAAGCGGAAAAAACCCCAAGTCAAAAAGTCGTCCAGTTGGGGGAATCGGCGATGAAGGAACTTTTCTGAGGAGCTGCTGGAGGCAGTGGAAGGGATTGTTGAGGGAATCAGCGGTGAAGGCGTTTTGTCGAGGAGCTGTTGTGGTCAAGGCGGAAAGTGGCCAAGCTTCGACAAGGCAGTGGACGGAAGGAGAGTATGTGATGTAAAACGGGGGAGGGGGTCTATCAGAATCAGCGATTTAATTTGAACAACGTATCGTTTCGCCAAAATTCATGATATTCGGTAGGAAATTAATTTAAAACAGTTAAAGTGACCGATGGATTTTAACAAGATTTACGATGATAACCATAAACAATTCCAATCTCGAATAATTTATTCGCAATATCAATTATCATTTTCGCAAGTTCTAAGATCAATATCAATTTTTCAGCAGTCACATATTCAGTTCTCTCAACTCACAAAAATAGATTAAGCAGTGAATATATGATAATAGTTTAGAGATTTAATACGCATGTAATTAACTGACAATTATGAGATTAACAGAAAATTATTGAGTTGAGAGTTTACTATCCAAAATGCCGAGAGAAACCCAAAAACCCATTAGAAGAATTTCTTTCAGTGAAGCCAAGATCCATCATATCAACAAGTCCACATATTTCATCAATATTTTCTGATTTCTCCTGTGTTCTTCTTTGATCTCAGGAAAAGAAAAGAAGCCTCCGACATCTGTGTACTCGGTCGCAAGTCCAAGTTGGTCTGACCAAAACCAAAGACAAGTGAACTCTTGTTGTCTTCTATCAGAGGGAAAGAAAAACTCCTGTGACTTCCGATCTAAGGGAGGGAAGTGAACAGAGGAGGCAGGGAGGGAAAGGCGGTGGTGATGGGGGTTTTGACAGAAAGCAGGGGGGTTCGCGAGGGCGACGGAGAAGTGGGGTTGGGGCGGCGTTGGGTGTGGCTGCAGGAGGAGTAAAAGGGCAGGGCGACGCTGAGGAGGTGGGCGCCTGAGGATGGGGTGCAGGAGATGACAGAACAGGGAGGGAAGGGTTGAGTGCGTCTGCTGGGGAGAAGAAGAGGGCCGAGGACGGCGTTGATGGTCAGAGGCGGACGAGGGGAGATGGGGGCGTTGCTTTGGAGAAGGAGCTGTAGGTGGGGGTTTCTTGGGAGGTCGAGGGTGGATGAGAGCTGAGGCAGGGCGGTGGGAGGTTGAAGACAAAGAGCAGGGGTTCGGGAGGGGAGCGGTGGCGTTGTTTTGGAGAGGGAGGGAATGGGAGTTAGGTTGGGTTGCGTTGCTTGGAGGAAGAAGATGAACAGGGTTGATTTTTTTTTTGTGAAGAGAGAGAAGAAGTGACGGCTGGGAACAATGAACAGAGAAACAAAATTGGGCTTAGGGTTTCACACCCATGGTTTCACACCAATAAGCCAATACAATTTCATTTTAATTTTCATTCATCATCAATTCAAAAATCTGATTACAGAGCTCTTTTATAGAGCAATTACAATCCCACAAATCACTCTAACCAATTATTAACTTCCAAATCTAAACCTAATTTGAAATTCAAATCTAAACCAAAATTCAAAATTCGAAATTCAAATTAACTACTAAAAAAACTGAAATAATTAAAGTTCAACTACAAATAAAGAAATGACATTCTTGTCCTCATCAGTATGTGGACGAGGCGATGACAGAGGAGGTGAGATTTGGGAGCTTTAGAGTTTTTCAGATTTAGCAGTAAACGGAGGATCGCAAAGGAAAGAGAAAATGAAAGGGGAGTTTAAGTTATAAGAATGGGTCGGGTTCAGATTACCACAAATGTGCGACCCAAACGCCTAAAATTCACTTTTGTTAAAGCGTTGGAAAAGCGCTTTCAGCCTTTTAAAGTGCTTTTGCGCACTTTCTCAAGTAAATAGCGCCAAGAACACTTAAAACCACCAAAAGCAGCAAAAGCTTTGAAATCCACTTCAGTGGGGCTTTTTCGCACTTTTTAAAACCTTGTATCAGTCAAGTTGTTTCAAAAAGTCCCCATGGATGTTGTCCATCCAATTATTCTCAAGCATTGTTAACTCTTGACTATATAAGGTAAATTATAATAATAACCGTAGCCTTACTAACCCAATCTCATTGTCCCTCTACATTAGTTTTCT